GCATAACGCATATATAATATATAGGAGTGTTGACCACATCACTCAATTTGCAGGCAAAATTGTTGATATTTACGTGTGGACTTTGTCAAAATTAATATAGCTATCAAAGATTAATTAATTTAAAAATTATGAATATTGAGATTAAAATAAAATATGATATTCAAGATAAGAAGAAGTCTCAAAGAACAGTTATAATGCATTTATTTTCACATAGTGAACTTCAAATGAAATCTGGATTGAAAGTGTGCCACTTATAAATGAAGGATATAAATCGAACTCTTTGAATTAAAGAATTTCAAATTTAAAATCTCAATTTTCTTATCAGAGTGAAATTTGAGTCAATTTCTTTTTCTCGATTTCCTTTTTTTTTTTTTTTTTAACTACAAAAGAAAGTTACTAAAGCTACTTCTTTCAAACTAATCATTTTTCAACTTTTTCCTCTCGATCATGCATACGCTTGCACACAACAATATATTTACCAATTATCACGACTTTAAGAAGTGCCACAACATAGAATTCTGGCAGTAAAAAGGACGCGTTGATTTTTCTATATTTTTTAATTTATTCAATCTTTTCATATTTATCAAACATGGTGCAATATGTATAAATCTTGTTTGGTTTAGCTAACAATAGATTTTCAATAAATTTTGAAAAAATTTAATAAAAATATATGCTCGAAAAGTTGATAAAATTTGTGGATCTGATTAAATACGTGACTAAAAATAAAGCCCTGTTTTAAAAAAAAAAAATACATTTTTCAACGGTGATTTGACATCATTTCAACACATATATTTCAATAAAATAATATTACAAGTAAATCCAAATCTTTTCCTTATTTCTTAATTACCTATTTTCCATCAATACATTATTTAAAAATGCATTTTTCATTCCAATAATGTGGCTCAAACAAGGTCTAAATGTTGACTTTGATTCAATATTTTATCAACCTTTTAAGCTAAAACAAACATGTGCTAAATATACCCCTTACGGATATAGCCCCTGACTGTTCTCAATTTTAAAAACTTATTTTTTCTTTAAATTTATTTTTTAACCACACATTTTATGAAATTTACAATTTTTATCAATTTTTTGATCATATGTTTTATTAATTTTTATCAAAAATTTATTATTATTATTATTATTATTATTATTATTATTATTATTATTATTATTATTATTATTATTATTATTATTTGGCCTCTCTATCATCAAACAAGGACCAAATGCATATCGATCGCGCTACTTGTACAATGTTGCCTTACAATGTGTGCTGTCAAGGGCAAAAAAGGAAAAACAGTAAAATCAAATAAAATAACTTTATTTGTTGTATGAACACTTTACTCTTACAGTTACCAGAAGCTATAGGAAAAGAAAAAGCCCTCTCCCTAATTTCTCCCCAATTGTGGTGAATGGCTGCCTATCTTTCCAAATCGTCGGAGGTACGCCATTGTCAGTGCACGCATCACCTCCGGTTCTCTCGTTGCATACAAAGCTAGAAAATTGATACCGTCTCCACAGAAGTTCGGCTACCACGAACTCGTCTCCTCAAATTTGAAGTGTCAATTCGACGAAAATATTAAGGAAACTGGCTTGACAGGAAGGTACGTGGTTTAAACAACTTTAAGGTGCTGTTTGATATACTACACACTAGCATTCAGAGTATATTGTTCTTGTTGAAGAAAATCTGGGTTAGTTAAAATTTTTGGAATTTTTCCTATCTTTGGATGATTTTGGGGTCTGGGCTTTTATAATATCTATATTTTCTCATACAACTGGTTCTTGAAGAATTGCTTGGTTTTTGAATTTTCATGCATGGAGAAGGATATTGTTTGTGTCGACTGTTGTATAAATTTTTTGTTAGCGTGATGAGTGCATATCTTGACATGTTTTTTGTTGATCATGGACAGCTTCAGAAGCTTTTGTTCAAACTTGTTCCGAGCTTAAAAAGATTCATATGTAAATCCTAATGCCTCATATATAAATATCAGATAACTCGAGGCATGAACTAACTTGTTTTAGTTATGATACATGTTTTTGCATATATAACTAACTACTCCAAAATGTTCCAAGTGAAATCACTTTTAACTGTTTTAGTTATAATGCATGTTTTAGCATTCTAAATATTATTTTCGAGAAATAGTAAATATTAATGCAATAGAAGCTTGGCAATTATTCTGGTGCATGAATGTTGTATTTGGTGATGCCATTGTTGTAGAGCAAGTGTTCATAATGGTCGGCCATACTTTACATCCATCGTATAACTTTATGTTTTTGGTGTCTGAATCCCACATTAGAATGCCAGGAAAGAACTCTGGAGTATGTCACAGCTGCAGGAGTAAAGCCCACTATTTTGTCAAATGCCCGATAAAAGTTCCATGCCCAACGTGTAACCAAGTTTTTCAGAAGTGCTTTGAGGCAGAACGGGCTACAACCAACAAAGGTAAATTCTTCAAATGTTGCAGTCTTAAATGTGGATTCTGGGAGTGGTGCAAAGAAGAGAAATCAAGCGGCGAAGCCGAGAACTTTGGTGTTATGTTGTCGAAGCCGAATCTAATCGAATTAGTTGAGGATATGTCCCACCTGTTTCAGTCACAAGTTCGGCTAAACAATGAACAAGAACTCCACATTTCTGTGAACGTGACCCGTACTGGAAAATCAAGCACCGAATGGAACACCAAGGGCAAGGGACCGGCTTGATTAGCAGTAGATTTGTGCTTAGTTATGTCAAATCTTTTGTTTATGTGTAAGCAGAATCAATGTCAGTTTGGAGGTTTTCTGGTTTGAACAATATTATCGTAATGTACTGCCTTTTGTTGTTAGTGCAATGGATAGAATTGTGTGCCTGTTCAAACTTTGTATTTTTCCTTCAATGCACTATCAATTCTACTAGTTTCAATTACATTGTTTCTACACTTTCACACAAGTAATTTTCTGTTGCACTCAACCACTTATCATCTAATTGTGAAGCAGCTGATAGATCTACGGACAATGAAGTCGAATCTAGCCAAGAATTTATATTCTTATCCTGTTGAATTTGCGGTCGATGTTAGGCTAACTTTTAATAATGCCTTACTGTATACTTCGAAAACTAACCAAGTGAACGGGATAGCGGAGCAGCTATTAGTGAGGTTCGGGGAATTGTTTAGGCCAATTCAGGAGAAGTTTGATAGGAATAATACTCAATGAAATGAAAGGGAGCTTCAAGAATTTTGGGATAATGATGAATTGCAAGGGAGTCAGTGGACTAATCATCAGCAGATTATGGCATCATCCTTGGGAAGAGGAGGAAAGAAACATAAACCAACATCAAGCCTGATTCCAGTTCCTCAGGCTTCAAAGAAGCCGATGAAGCCAGAGAGAATGCAAGTAAAAAATATCACAAAAATATGACCAAGTCATGCATTGCATTACATATTCGAAAATGTTCCCCACAAAAATGTAACACATGATGCCAAAGAAAAGAAATAAAAAATTCCATATTCCAAAATGTTCCCCAGAAATTGGAGGAACTTTTTCATAGCACACCTCCATGTCAAATTCTCTTCAACTGGAAATTTGTTTACATGTAATTGGAGAATTTTCTTTTGACTCTTCACTGCTCTAGGGATTATATTCAAATTCTCTGAATAAAACATTCAACACTGGCAATTAACACCACATATATCTCTTTAACTAGTAAATGCATTAAACTGGATCAAAACTCATTTCCATCTTCATGCCATTCCTTTGGATAGTAGTAAGGATGTGCATAACCTACTATAAAAGACGACGTTAATCTATACACACAGATTATGGATAAAAAAGGGATGTGCTTTCATATAAATGCGTATCTTGAGAATTGAATGTTGGATGGGTTGATGACGGATGGATCGGTGTAGAAGTCGGTAATTTTTGTGCAAACACTTGGCTTTGATGGTCACCCTACATCAATATAAGAAAGCGCAAATGACACAACAAACATACGAACGGGATAAATTAAAGTTACTCACCAACAAGAGCTGCGAGTAGGTGTATGGAATGAGCATCGACGATTCTTGCTGTTGATGAGTTTGAATGGATGATGCACAATTTGGTGGACAAGTATGCTTTGTAGTTGGTCTTTTGCCTTTTGATGGAGCCTGCATATATAATGAGATATAATGTTAGGAATCCGTTTCACTTGAGAAGGTAACACGTGAACTTACCGTTGGCTTCTTTGACGTTGACTCTAACGAGCCCTTTCTTCGAAGTCTCTTAGGTGCACCCTTCTTGTTCACTGTGTTAAGGTCCAATACCGTGCTACTTACATTTTGTTGCGAACCTATGTTGTTCGATGACACTTGAGTAGTGAGTAGTACGTTGCAGTAGAACATTGCTTCTGCTGATCGACCTCGAACTCATAAGTTCTTTCTCTTGAACTCCTATCCATTCCATTATCACATGGGTTCGACCTTCGTCTTCTGCGGCTAGGTCTGCAATGGTAGCGAAAGCCTGACACAT